GGTGCAGGTACCAATACATTGTTAATAGCACCCCAAATGCAAATCGCACGCGCAGTCCGTTTGTGGGCACCAGACCATATGATACTGCAATTTGGTGTTGGCGCGATTTTCAAAAGTAGTGCATTCACTAACTTTCTCCCGCCATTCTGAGGACCGCGTGAAACGATGTGCAACGGAGCGGACACGAGCTGTCCGTGACCCTCTGATCCAGAGGAGGGAGCCCTGTATTCAGGCTGAGCCCCCATCTACCCTTAAGGGGACCTCTGGACCCAGCAGTATCTCATACCTAATCCAGGCTTACTGACCAGATCTCAGAAGGATGCCCACCACCTGCTGACTACAGATTACTGCCTAGGATTATTATTCCTACATGCGCATTATCCATGCGCTTCTGGTGAGTGCGCACTTCTGCTATTTTGATCTCAGTCACAATTCCATTGGGATGACTGCTTCATAGGAAATTACAGCTGGTGCCATCTGTTGAACTCTATTGATTTGCATATATTTTCACAGGAGCTTTCTACTTCATTATCTATTGAGCGCTGCACTTTATTATACTTACTAGTGCATTCACTAACGTTTGTTCTGGTGCGATTTTAGCCCATTCAAATTAATGGGTTAAAAAAATTTCAGTGTGGGCAAAGCACAGGAATGCTGACTGCTATCCTGTGAGATTCTGGTGTGAACTGGACCGTAAAGTACAAATAAAGCCAAAAACAATAATGCAATATATATTTCAGGTTACCAGTTTTTTAATGCAATGGTTAAGTGATTCTAAAGTTAAAATTTGTATTTTTAAAAAAAATAACAAACATGTCATACTTACCTGCTCTGTGCAATGCCTTTGCACAGAGCAGCCCCGATACCTCCTCTATTGGGTCCCCCACCGGTGCTCCTGGCTCCTCTTCACTACCGAGTGCCTCATAGCAAGCCACTTGCTATGGGGGCACTTGTGCAGGCTTGCTCCCAAGCTGGCTGTGTGTGTCCATTGAAACACAGGGTCAGCTTAGCCCCACCGCCAGCTCCCTCCTTACTGGCTATGATTGCCTGCAGCGGGAGCCAGTGGCTCTAAGCTAAGGAGGAGGGAGAAAGCTGAGAGAGCCCCCGCTCTCCTACAAAACATCTCTGAATCTATAATGGGCTCAGATAAGTATAAGGGGGGCTGGAGGGGTTACCTTAATGCATAGACTACATTAAGGTAAAAAGAAACCTTCTGTCTTTACAACCATTTTAATCTTTCCAGAATTGTTGTGTCCTAGTCATTTTCTGTGATCTGGCTTAGAAGAGTAAAATAATATTATCTGTCTTGCAAAAACTACTAATCCTATCACCCCACATGTAATGGTGATATACAAGCACAGACATTTGTGAGGTGCAGCCTGTGTGACAACCATGGCTGCCTCCATAGATTGAGTGGAGTGAGTGAGCATAGCTACTCAGCGCCAGGAAGTGTTATTTGCAGGATTATCCGGTGAAAACAAACGTGTGAAAACAGAAAAGTGTAGCAGCCACTTCATCTAAAGACTTGTAAGCTGCAGCATGTTCATTTTTTCTTTAAGGGTTTAGATATGCTTTAAGTGGATGAGTTCAAATATGAATGTTGGAAGCTCTGAACCTCTCCAGCTGTTCCATTATGTCAGGCAGATACACAAAGCATGTTTAATCAGATAATGTAATAAAAGGAGATGAAAGTGACACAAGCAAGCCCAGCAGATGTAACAAAACTTAATTAAACAGCAAGAAAAATACAGTACATACAGTACACAGTACAGTCTGTTTTCTTGCTTAGGAAAACACAACAGTTAACCTTGGTGGTTTTGAAATGCTGTGATGGCATATGATGTAAATGTCTGTTGATGATTTGCAAACGTTTAGTTTAGTGTTACAAATTATGTTTTATGTTCTTGTCTGTAATGCTTATACAGTGACTCACACTCTCCCCCCCATGTACGGTACATAGCAAACCAGTGTTAGAAATCCAGCATTGCTCAAACTGTCTGCACAGCCCCTAGGAAGTCAAAATTCACTCCACTTTTCTTCTCTTCTGAAATGTGCCAACTGTCATGGTGCATCATTTAATCTCCAGGGCATCGCCCATCCTCTGGAACTCCCTACCCCAATCCATCAGACTATCACCTACTCTCCTCTCCTTTAGGCGCACCCTGAAAACCCTTCAGGGAAGCCTACCCCGCCCCCTGCTAATTGCCGATCTCCTCCACTCTTCCTACCACTCCATCCCCCACAGCTTTTCCTCCTGTACCACTATCCCCTCCCTCCTAGATTGTAAGCTCCAAGGAGCAGAGCCCTCGTACCCCTCGTGTATTGCATTGTATTGTTATTATACTGTCTCATGTATTGTCTCCCATTCCAATGTACAGCGCTGAGCGAACTATTGTCGCTTTATAAATACTGTATAATAATAATAATCTCAGAAATCTTTTCTTCATTAATGTTGAAAAATGTGTCTGCTGCGAGTACAAATGTATATTATCTTTACAAAGTAAGACTCCATTCACACTTGACCTGAGCATCTTTGGTTATACAGTATTTGGGGTATTTCAAACGTTTGTATATGTGTTTTTGCGTACATCATTTTATTTTTAGCCAATGGAAAGCTAGTTACAAGGCAACAAAAATGTGTTATGTATGTTTTCACTTGCTTTTCATGTGCTCCTATTGAAGTCTATTGAGAGCAAAATGTGAAAATCTGCTCCAAAAGAATTGTGATGAGCTTCAAGCGATACTACACTTCGGTGTGAACAGGCACTAATGACTATAATGGAAATCCTAGTGTCAGCTAGGGACATTATCACTAGAGAAGATTACACACATACAGTATAGTTTCAGTTGGTCAAGGCATTAGTCTGGAAATAGGCCGTTGGATCACCTAATTATGCTTGCTTTCTAATGCTTCAGCGTCTGGTTGTCATACATATGGGCCTCTCAAAGTTGGTTACATTCAAGCTCGTTGTATTTTGATTTTCAGAACTGATAACTTGGAACCAGCCCTAAGATTCAAGAGCTTTATTACCACATTGTATTTGAACTGAACCTGTAAATTGTAAACACAGAGCAAAGCAACAGGTTCAATTAGTTACAGGCCTTCCAATCTACATCATGTGTGATCCCCGCTTTCTTTATAGGATCCATACCTTGTGTTTATTTTTCGGCTGTTGGAAGCAGTATACGTTTTCCGTTCACTGTAGATCTACAATACAACCATATAGTTTCTCCAGCAAGAGACTAGAGATCACTGAATGTTTCCCGAGATACAAAGAGTTTTGTGACAGCTTTCAACAACAGGTGTGCCGCCTCCTTCCTACAGCTCCATTGAAAAATGTACCCATAAATGTCCAGAGAGCTGGCAAGACTATAAAAAAAAATAAAAAATAAAAATATTACAACATGGACCCAGTAGACAATATAGGGACCACAGATAGAGTTCATTTTCCTTGAGGGCATAAAATGTAGTCAGCAGATTGATTGATTTCATAACAGGGTCAATTTACATAGCGCTTTACATATATATTGTACATTCACATCAGTCCATGCAAATTTATAGACTGTGGTCTGCCAACATATTTAGAACCTACCACCTACCTCCAGGTACTTTCCCGCTAAAAAAAACGGTCGAGGACTCCGCTGTCTTCCATTTAGGTGGGCAGATTGGAGTTAGCCAGATGTAAAAAGGCAGTGCAGTCTGTTTACTCCTGGCTGCCCATAGAGCAGAGTGGGCTCTATCCATGTCCGCTCTGCAGATACTAAGCAGACACAGAAGTGTCATCTGCCCACTCTGCTCCACTCAGCAGGGGATCACTTCACAGGTCCACTGCTGATCAGAACAGAATCCAGCCCATGTGAAAGGGGCCTTAGACTTTAGATCAGCAACTGGTGATTGTGCTGATGTTGTTAAACTGAAAGTGTTCCAACAATAATTGTATTCATTGATTGATTTGCTGTGCTCTCTTGTTATCCCTAGTTTTGTAGAGTATGTACAGAATAGGTACCCCTTTAAGGACTGCAGTGAAGAATGTATAAGGAGAATATTATATATGACACTGCACCAGAAATATGTGTTCTCTGATCTCCAGTGCAGAACCGTTAGTTAAAAGTATGTGAATAATGTTCTGACATCCAAAGGCGAGGCTTTGGCTAGACTGATGTGGAGGGGTGGAGGGTAGGAAAGTGCTGTTTGTCTGTATCCCATTATGAATCAGAGGAAGTTATTGTCTATGAAGCACACTGTGCGCTCTGTACATTCTCAGGCACATTTTGTTTTCCGGACACTCGTTCACTTAGTCAGAGTCTGTCCAGGATGAGCGTAACTGTCATCCACAGCTGATGGACAAGGAAATATATGGAGTTATGTATGTGCATCTCAGGAAGAGGCCTCTGAAGGCTTAGCAAAGTTGCATAGTCTCTGATGGTATTCCAGAAAATGCCCCGCTGAACAAAACCTTTGCTGACATGCCATTCTGTTACAGTGCAAATTCCCATTACTACTTGTACAGTAAAGCAAGTCATTGTAAGATCCTATCCAGCTAATGTTAAAAATTACTAGCTCTTTGCATTGAGCTTTGTGTGCCGAAATCTGCTTTATATCTCTTCTTTCCCGTCTTTCTAGACAAAGCAGTAAATTAATGTCTGCATTGGAAATAATGTGCCGTAAAAGGAGAATGAAGCAATGTCCAACAAATGACAGTTTTGTAAGATAAACAATGTTTAGGAACATGTAGTCCAAGGCTGAGATTATTGATCTGCATTTGCATGTGCAGTCCCTCCTCTGTTGTTTTATTCTGATCTAATATATTCTGCTTCTTTCTTCCAGGAATAAGGTCTGAGAAGAGTGACACTCTGCTAAAGTCTCCCAAAGACGGCTGCTAGTGGACAAGTTATGGGGTTTCCAGATAATATGTGTTCATGAGGTAACAGAAGGAAACACAGGAACACCTTCCCTTTCCCTTACCCTGCCCCCTTTTTTGTTAGCCCTCAGACAAGAAATGGGTCAAAAGATCTCAGGGAGCATCAAGTCTGTGGATGTGCGGGATCCACCTTACAGACCAGTCAAGCGAGAACTGAGGGGTCCAGACTTTTGCAAGCCTGCTCGATTAGATATGCTGCTGGACATGCCTATGGCCACTTTGGACGTTCAGTATAAACATGCATGGAATAATGAGGATCGATCTTTGAATATTTTTGTGAAAGAGGACGACCGACTGACGTTCCATCGACACCCAGTTGCACAAAGTACAGACTGCATTCGAGGGAAGGTTGGCTATACAAGGGGCCTTCATGTTTGGCAAATTCATTGGCCCACCAGGCAAAGAGGAACCCATGCTGTTGTTGGGGTAGCAACTGCTGATGCCCCTTTACATTCTGTTGGATATACTTCACTGGTAGGAAGCAATAGCGAGTCTTGGGGCTGGGACCTAGGACGAAATAAACTCTATCATAACTGTAAAAACCAACCTGGTGTTACATATCCAGCCTTTTTAGAACCTGATGAATCATTTGTACTCCCAGACTCCTTGCTGGTAGTGTTAGATATGGATGAGGGGACACTTAGCCTCATAGTTGATGGACAATATTTAGGAGTTGCCTTCAGAGGACTCAAAGGGAAAAAACTTTATCCTATTGTTAGCGCTGTATGGGGTCACTGTGAAATTACAATGCGATACATCAATGGACTTGATCGTAAGTATTACATTCACACTTCATCTTGCTTATGGCAAATTTATGTTTTACAGAGTTTTTATTCTTTGACTTGTTATGTGGTATTTACTATTTGGCTCAATTACTGATTTATGTCACTGTGACATTGTAGACATTGTATGGCTAAAAGATGGAGAATATAAAAATACAAATGCAGATGAAAACATATTTCAAAATTCCTTTGAAGAATTAGTAATTTAGGTAGCAATGATGCATTTGTAAATGTTGTCCTATAATGCACACGTTTCATGGGTGAAATTGCCTATAAAATGAATGTCTATGGGTTATCCCCAATCTGTGCAAACATGCTTGCTCATTGATCACATTGGAGAAGTGGCCTGTTGATATGGATTTTCCTCTGCCAGGAGTGGCAGAGAAGATGGCCTGCAAAATGCATGAATCTTTTAACCATTGTCTTTTGTTTGTGGCTAGAACTAAGCTAGCTATGTACAGTGTATCAAAGGAAAATCAGATGGGCAGGCAAAATCTAACCATCTGAAGGTTTCTTTAGGTCAAGTTTCAGTTATAATCCCAAATGTCTGGGTCACTCCAGCATTCATGTTTATGCAATGTAAAGCAGTGTGGAGACACATACAGACTCCTCTTGCAACTCCTTACTTTAACAACAAAATATCGCACACAAGAATTCTACCTGTCTGAGAACTATTTGACCTTCTATTGAAAGATACCCAATCACCTGCCTATGACTGTCTGAAATTCTGAGCAGTTCATACGACTGCCTAGCTGTGTTTGTGAGTACAGCTCAGGTTAGAGCACAACATAGTTAAAGATTCAGCTGCAGTAGCTGGAATATTCATTCATTCATTCATTTTCACGATAAAACAAGCAATAGAGTTGGCTTCTGATTTCTTTTGGAAATGGAGTTGATTCTAAGATGTTGGGGGGAATTCAATAAAGCTGGTGCGCCACTTTTCTGACCTTTATCCCTCTTGTTAATGTATTGTGCCAAAGTTATGAAGCATTTGTGACATTTTTGGTTCTGATAGTGACTCGTGCTCCAAATTCAGATCGTTCCAAAATGCACTACTTGTACATTGTGTTGCATTCAATGTACCACTTTTACATTGTGTTGCTCCAGATGTAAAAGTGGGGCTATTTAAAACCAACTCTCTTTTGGCATACAGAGAGAAAAACTGTCTCAGACAGATTTTGCCAAAGTGTCTCACATGCATTCTAAAACTGGTGCAGCATGAGCCAAATTCAAGTAAAAGTTCTAGACAGGTACCTGAATTTTACACATTCTTTTCCAGTTTTAGATTGCATGAGAAACACTTTCGCAGAATCTGCCTACACCAGTCTTTGCAAATTCCAGGGATTGTGTATTATAATACACCTGTGTGCCGTTACTGACCTTTCCTTTTGAAAATGCTTTTTTTTCTTAGTTGTCATGCATATCCAGTGACTTCTAAACTCTCTGGGTCATTGACTCAGAACATGTATGTACTGTATATTACGCGTTCTGACCAGGGGCGGACTGACAACTCATGGGGCCCCCGAGCAATAGGGGATCATGGGGCCCCTGTGTCCTTGCCCAAACTCAAAAAAGCCTATGAAAAAGGTACCAGGGGCATCTCATGGGGCCCTCTACTGACCCCGGGCCCTCGGGCAGTGCCTGAGTTTCCAAATGGTCAGTCCGCCCTGGTTCTGACTCTATTTACTGGGTGCTTTTTCCAAGGTGAATCAGAAAGTATTTAAATTTAAAACAACCAGGCAGCTAGCACTGTCAGAATGAGCAATGGTAGCCTTCAACTTTGTTTCAGTACAAGTTTTCTTTAACATCTCACTGCTTTCTTGTGCAGCTGAGGCTTAGATTATGGTCAATATGGGTATAATGAAACTAAGGAAAATCAAATGTGTAATCTGTTCTTCTACTTTCATGTGATCTTTTGTTCAACGATAATACTGATAGTTTATATTCTGTGTTCAGTCTTGTGGAATTACAGAAAGTTCATGTTGTGAGGCTTATGTCTATGGGCACCGTAACATAAACATCAACCAATATTATATAGAATGACATTCCAGGCCCATTTGCTCTAAAAAGCATTGGTGTGCTGGAGTGTTGTTCGTTTTGAATGGCACCCAGTGCACCTTCACAATACACCTGCGATGTGGCACACCTCAACACACAGTAACACACCACCATGCATTGCAGCATGCTACGATACAAAAAAAAAAAAGCAAGTATGATTTTAGGTTCTTTGCATTGCATCAGGCAGCCCATTCCAATGAATGGGCCACCTTATCACAATGCATGTTAAGATGTGACATGACGTGGGTTAAAATGCAACTAACAAGACTGATGTAAATGGGCACATAAACCGTAGGTCCAGACAATTGTTAATTTTGGAAAGAGTGGGGAAGGATCAGAACTCCTGTTGGGTTTTTACTGCTGTCTGGGTCTCTTTTAGAAGGATTTACCCCCATTTACTGCCATGGTGACATCAGCTTTACTAGACAAGAAAAGACAGAACATCTGCAAAAGGAACAAAGATGGTAACAAAAATACTGAATGAACCAAAAAAATGTAGGAACAGTCCTCCTGCAGTGCCAGCCTAACTATAATGACCCCCAAGTGGCCGCAGACACCTAACTATATTCCAAAATAGTGAGAACAATAAGAGAAGTGAATTGGTGCTGCGCTACTCAGTGCATAAAAAATAAATCATAAATAAATGAATAGAATCAGAAGATGAATGAACATATGACCCTCATCCAAGTGTGAAAACAACATATGCAAAAAAATGGATAAGTGCAGACAATATCAAACATCAATAACGGCAGCACAGTGTGCTAATAATGTGCCAGTGACTTAGTGAACACAAGATATTAACAATAATAAAACACTGATGTGTTTAAAAGAAACATAATGTGATACAATGAATAAGTCCCAAAAAGGATAATAACAGTCCCAAAAAATAGGAACACAATGGATCTTCGACACAAGCTGTGAAACATCCAGTGATGAAAATATATACAATCAGTCCTCCACTGGCTAGCGTGTATATTCACCTCCAAAATGCGACCCACAAGGAGTCATAAAGCATACAGAGAACCTCAAACGATGATCCCAAATAGATGGTCCTCGATAGCAATCAAAGAAAGAGGAGTCCTCTCCGATGATGCTGGCAAACACTCACAGGCATGCTTCAGATATGGTCACAGACCTCTGTCACCTCCAGTATCCCCATATAGAAGATTTAAGCAAGAAGACTTCCCATAGTGTAATATGTCAATTACTTTAATATAAACAGAACCCAAAATGACTACTCACATTAAAAAAGGGTCCGCAGACAAATACAGGCAAGATTACCGCAGCAAAAAACCGCAGGAAAGGTGTATAGCATCGGGAGTACCAAGATGGGTTGCCGTCCATACTGGATATGACATCACCATGCTTCCATCCTACATGTTGCGTCATGGGTCACGTGACTTCCTCAGGGCTCCCTGAATAAGTCACGTGACCTGTGACGCAACACATAGGACAGAAGTTTGGTGACATCATCTGGTATGGACGGCAGCCGCCATCTTGGTACTCCCGATCCTATACACCTTTCCTGCAGTTTTTTGCTGCAGTAATCTTGCCTGTATTGGTCTGCGGACCCTTTTTTGATGTGAGTAGTCATTTTGGGTGCTGTTTATAATAAAGTATTTGACATATTACACTATGGGAAGTCCTCTTGCTTAAATCTTCCATGCGGGGATACTGGAGGTGACAGAGGTCTGTGGCCATATCTGAAGCATGCCTGTGAGTGTTTCCCAGCATCATCGGAGAGGACCCCTCTTTCTTTGATTGCTGTTGAGGACCATCTATTTGGGATCATCGTTTGAGGTTTTCTGTATGCTGTATGACTCTTTGTGGGTCGCATTTTGGAGGTGAATGTGCACGCTAGCCAGTGGAGGATCGGTTGTATATGTTTCCATCACTGGATGTTTCACAGCTTGTGTTGAAGATCCATTGTGTTCCTGTTTTTGGGACTGTTATTATCCTTTTTGGGACTTATTCCCTGTATCACATTATGTTTCTTTTTAACACATCAGTTTTTTATTATTATCTTGTGTTCATTTAGTCACTGGCACATTATTAGCATACATTATTGATGTTTGATATTGTCTGTACTTATCCATGTTTTTTGCATATGTTGTTGTTTTCACACTTGGATGAGGGTTATATGTGCATTCATTTTCTGATTGTATTCATTTATTTATGATTTATTTTTTATGCACTGAGTAGTGCAGCACCAATTCACTTCTCTTAAAAATACTGAATGGGTGTCTAGCCATCTTCTACTCTACTAAAAAATGTATTTCTCTCTGTGTTGCTGTTGGAGATTTTTCCTCATTTCCTGTTGGGTGATACTGTTGTCACCAGAATAGTAATTGAGATGGAATCTCTCTATTGGAGTCCAGGAATGCTGTAATAACATAACAAAGGTTCTAACCCGTCCCCACGCTATACAAATGTAAAATAAATAGATATACACTTGTAACATGGTAAGGCTGAACACTTTAGTAGATAAACACCTAAGGAACCCATTTGTAATGTTCAAACAACTAGTCATGCGTAGAAAGCTGCCAATTAATTTTTTGGAGCATTGTCTGTTGTGGTCAGTGGAAACACACATGTCCTTTGCTCCCCTAAATAGTCACAAAACGGAACTGAGTCAGCTAAGAAAAATATTTCTACTCCTAATATTATTATCATCATAATCCTCATTGTTGTAAAACCACTAATAGAAAATGTGATAGAGCAAGTCTCAGCCGTTTGCACATTGTGTCAGATTATGTTTGTCATATACTGTACAGTATAGTGGAACCGCAGGTAGCAAACAACCAACTTTACACACTGAGAATAGAGGAATACAATGGCAAACATAAGCCTGTTCTTAGAAAGTACATTAGTCCCACTCACACACTACGTAGAGCATTTTGTCAGATTTCCTGCTGTTAGTACACAATGGACTCTGTAGCGGGATAAGAACATTTAGCAAGTCAGCAGAATGTTGACATCTGTGCGGCTCGCTCCCCCTGACTTTAACCCTGCACAGGTTGCTCAATAATGTGGAGGCAG